CAAGGGCCGTTATACTGTACACAGAATCACAGCTGCAGAGGGTCAATTCAAGCTTTGCAAGGTTAAGGCTCTGCACGTTGCCAAGAAGAATATCCCATACATCACTACCAATGACGGACGCACCATCAGATATCCTGACCCACACATCAAGGTAGGATTTTGATTTTAAGATGAATTCAGGGTTCCCTGTTTTTCTTTAGCACTACTATCTCCATTCCTTTTTTTACAAGCCCTCGCAACGGATTTAGGCAGGCTGCAGCGCTACATTTAAAACATTGAGTTCCCTCAACTGTTTAGTGAATAATAGTGAAAATGGTAGTTATGGCCTATTCCAAGCTCTAGTACAGTACATTTTAACAGTTCCTGATCACTTTTGGGTATTGTTGTGATTTTTTGCCGGCTGCTAAGGCCCCTGGGTAGCATACCCTCTTATCCAATTCTTCGAGTGGAAGATGGGTTGGCTTGCTGAGTTGTTTCTCTAAAACGCTGTTTTCGAGGTAAAGGGGTTCTTTATCGCCGCAAGAGTGGCCAATTATTCGCTCAGTTCCGAGATTGTTTTTTTCAAGAGTTGTGACTGTTGATTAGTGGAGGTTTTTTATCTCTAGGTGAACGATACTGTCGTCATCGACCTGACCTCCAACAAGATCACTGATTCGGTAAAGTTTGAAGCTGGAAACCTGGCCATGGTTACTGGAGGACGTAACGTTGGTCGTGTTGGTGTGATTGGACATCGTGAGAAACTGCCTGGTGCTTTCGACATCACCACATAAAGGATTCCGCTGGACACTCCTTCGCCACTCGGTAAGTTTTTGGGAAGGAGAGAGAAGGTCGGGGGCTCAGTGCCATAACTGCCGACCCAGGTTGGTTTGTGTTTGAATGTTATTCCACTTGGAAAACAAGCGGAAATCTTTTTATATAGAGTGGGGTGTGATTAAGCGTGTTCTTGGCTTTCTGGAATTTGTGGGTTTTGGGTGTTGGGAACAATCTGATAAGCGCGGTTACGAAAGCTTTATCTTCTGTCGTTACCCCTCCCCCGTACGGTAATAGCGCACTGCCACTTACGGTTAGCGCAAAATGAAGTCTGCTACGGTAAAGAGATCGACCTGAGAATCGGCTTACCCTTCAAGACCTCACGTGCTCAGTATTTTTGCAATTCTAATTGAAGCCAAGTACATCCCAATCGATCCATCAACGTCGACCCCTTCACTCTTACAATACATCGCCCATTCTCCATATCGGCTAACTACTAATTGTCCAGTTTTTGGGAGCGCAGGGGAAACTGCAACTTGGTCATTCGTTTTGGAATGTGCCATCTATTTCAGTGATTTTGCGCAGAATCGTACAGCCACTTGAAAGCACACTTAGCCATTCATAGTTGTTATGGGGGTGGCCGGTAATCGCTTCGGACTGTTTATGAATCCATAACTATTGAAATCAACTAGGCAGTCTCAGGAAGAAGACTAGGTTGTCCTGGGCCTGAATCCAAAAAGCAATTAGTAGCGCCTCACACTTGCTGCTCCATCCGCTCCTCTTATAGGAAATACGTATTTCAATGCAGATTATGATGAGTTTTGTGAAGCTCTGGTAGCGCGATCTCCCTAAGTGTTTCCGTAAACTAATGCGAAGGCCAGTCGATGTCCACGTGTCTGTTTTTGCCCTCTCGTGTGGATCTTTTGCCCACTATTCGTCTCAGAGGTAAGGGTACATTGCTACACTGGCCAGGATTTGATCTTGGAATTAGGAGTACGTAGTGGTCCCACTTCCCCTGCGCCATCCCATGTGAATAGCTGCAAGAATATTATCTTACTAACCAGACACCAACTTAAAGCCATAGAGTCGAACGTAGTAGAGCTTTGCTCTTCTGCTGTATTTGATATACACGTGACGCATCTCCTCTTCAGCACGTCTTTTCTCAGCCTAAACAGATGTGAAAAACCATTTATGTGAGCGCCCAAAGATCGGCCTTGACGTACACGTGCCAGGAAAGCGGCCTAAGGGACGCCCGAAGCAGCGCTGGCTTGATACGTTGCATGGACTTGAAGTTAGCTGGTATCCATCCCGATCAAGCATTTAATCGGGAAAAGTGGCGTCAGCACATCAGAAAAGCGGACCCCGCCAACCTGGGGGACAAACGCTAAAGAATGGAAGAAGGGCTGTGAAGAAGGGCCTGCTATTTCGAGACAGCTGAGAATTATTACGC